TTCCGAGAGGAATTGACAAGATTGACGGTACCGTTCAGTGCCAACGGGAAACGAACGGGTTTGATAAATAATTTGAGAGACTCGAGGACAAGAGGTGCGCGATCCCACAATTCCGTGCGACAAGATGGCGACCAGGTTACTTCGAATCGATATTATTCCTCGATGGTTCGCATACGCAAACGTTGGTCGACATCGTCACTAGATTGGCAGAGAGTGTGTCAACACTACAGGACAGTTATGTCAGACTGGAAAGGCGAATAAGTGTTTCCGTTACTAGCGTCACCACAACAGTGAGTTTCTGTGACTATTCTTCCCAGCGTCAAGTTTCTCCTGCAGCAGTGGCCGGCAGCGAACACCAACTCGGCACGGAATCGAGGATCCTAAATCAACCTCAAGCAGAGTACACCTTAGAGACCGCATACATGAGTTGAAAAACATACGCATCACCAGCATGCACTTTCGAAGTTTCCAGATGAAATCCGTCCTACAGGCTCCCTGAACAGCGAAGAATGTCGACACTGTCATAACAACAGCACGTGTGTATCTTCTCTGGCTGACATCCGAGGTGTGACGAACGCGACGCGTTCGGTTTAAATGAACCTCGAGTCTTACTCAAGTCCTGTGTTCTTACCAGGCAGGTTCCAGGCTATCTGGCTACTCCCAGGGCTTTATGATATCGTCTATTCTGCATGCTACGTGGGCGCTTCTATGTCTATTCGATTTCAAGTCTTAGAGTCAAGTTGCTTCTCTGCAGCACAGTAGAGTCAAGCTTCTTCTCTAGGTCTATTCTATGTCAAGTCTTAGCATCAAGTTGCTTCTCTGCAGCACAGTAGAGTCAAGCTCCTTCTCTAGGTCTATTCGATTCAAGTCTTAGAGTCAAGTCGCTTCTCTGCAGCACAGTAGAGTCAAGCTTCTTCTCTAGGTCTGTTCAATTTCAAGTCTTTAGAGTCAAGTCGCTTCTCTGCAGCACAGTAGAGTCAAGCTTCTTCTCTAGGTTTATTCGATTTCAAGTCTTCAGAGTCAAGTCACTCCTCTGCAGCACAGTAGAGTCAAGCTCCTTCTCTAGGTCTATTCAAGTTTTAGAGTCAAGTCGCTTCTCTGCAGCACAGTAAAGTCAAGCCTCTTCTCTAGATCTATTCGATTTCAAGTCTTAAAGTCAAGTTGCTTCTCTGCAGCACAGTAGAGTTAAGCTTCTTCTCTAGGTCTATTCAATTTCAAGTCGCCTCTCTGCAGCACAGTAGAGTCGAGCTTCTTCTCTAGGTTTATTCGATTTCAAGTCACTCCTCTGCAGCACAGTAGAGTCAAGCTCCTCTAGGTCTATTCGATTTCAAGTCTTAGAGCTCGAGTCAAGTCGCTTCTCTGTAGCACAGTAGAGTCAAGCTTCTTCTTCAGGTCTATTCGATTTCAAGTCTTAGAGGCAAGTTGCTTCTCTGCAGCACAGTAGAGTCAAGCTCCCTCTCTAGGCCTATTCGATTTCAAGTCTTAGAGTCAAGTTGCTTCTCTGCAGCACAGTAAAGTCAAGCTCCCTCTCTAGGTCTATTCAATTTCAAGTCTTAGGGTCAAGTCGCTTCTCTGCAGCACAGTAGAGTTAAGCTTCTTCTTTAGGTCTATTCGATTTCACGTCTTGGAGTCAAGTCGCTTCTCTGCAGCACAGTAGAGTCAAGCGTCTTCTCTAGGTCTATTCAATTTCAAGTCTTAGAAATGTGTTTTTAGACAGCATTTTATGGCTTTCTGCAGTGTGGGGAGCTCACATGCCAAACCTTGCACGATACTACTAACATTCGTATGTGTGACATAGTGGTGGTGCCGGACAAGTCTTCCTTTACCCTTTTTCTGCGTTCATCAAAATGGACCCCTACGGTAAAGGAGTGAACATTAAAGTGTTTGAAAACAATGTTTTGCATCCTGTGCTCACCATGATTCCCTATTTAGCAGCAAGGAAGGCTCAAGGAGCTATTCTGACTTCACCTTTGTTTATTGAAAACATGTTTGGTTTTTATTTCCAAACCGTTGATGCGTCAGACTTTCATATCGTACCTCAAAGAAACTCTGACTCGTATAGGTATCAACAGCCATGATTTTAATGGACATTCCTTTTCATATTGGTGCGGCTACCTCAGCAGCTGCCGCCGGTGTCCAGGATCATGTTATTCAGACTTTGGGTAGATGGTC